GAGTCATGTCCGTCAGTGAGTGCAATGGGGTGGGGTTTGGGTGCTTAATTGTGTGTGCAGCAGGTTGTCAAGTTTTGGCCTGCTGCACAGAGATTTTCTTACAGGAGATGAACAAAGGGTTAATGTAGAAAAGATGACTAAAGAGGAGTGTGGCAATTATGGCACAGAGTTACCACCACCACCATGCTTTGGAGAAAGAGGGTAGACAATGCAGTCCATAAACACACTATTCATTTATTTTTCCCCAAAATGAGGTAAGAGCTGTGGCTTGCTGGCAAAGCAGTGCGCCATATATCATTAATCCTAGCAGCTTGCCTCTTCTCACTAGCAGGGCTCTGGCAGAGAACTGTGAGATTGGGTCTGCTGTAAAAAAATATATTTCTTTGGAATTGCAACAACAGCTAAAAAAACCCCAACAATTATCCCAGGTTCAAGGCAACCCAATATATCATGGATAATGCTGTAAAATCCCCGCCATGTTAAAGTAATCATTTAAATAGCAGCTTCACCAGGTCCTAAAGGTCCTTCCTGCCTCTTCATCACTGTGGGCTCTAAATATCATCCACCCCTTCCTAAAGGAACAAAATGCCCCCACACCATCTTCATAGCCTAGGGCTATAGCTGCAGTGCTGCTTTTTGTGAGGCAGAATGGGAAGCACATTGCTGAGACCCCAGCTCTTGTGCATCCTCCTCTTCTTGCAGTTCCCTTGCAGCTCCCACCCTGGCACTGGTGCAGCCAGCCTGGGGAGCTAGGGCTTTCCAACCAAATGCCTCCTCTCAGCAGCATGCCCGTCTGTTCGCCGGAGGAAAGAGAGGATGGAAAGCTTAGGGCCGAGAGCTGTTGGAGTGACAGGCACAACATAAACTGCGAGGAGTGTTACAGCAACATGCTGGGAAATCAGTGCACTGAGTGGTGGTGCCTTGACTGGAGGAGGAGCAGGAGTCACAGCAGCTAGAAATGAAGCACCAAGACCTGAGCAGGGCAGAACAGGCAGTGAAACCTCCAGTTTTGGTGTTTGCCAGGATAGGAGATGTATATGCCTGAATCTCTCTCTCCTTTTTTTCACTCACTTTCCCACCTATCAAGAGACATAAGCCCAAATACTTCCAAGAAGGCGGAAAAAAAAGACATCTTCCGTATCCAGATGGAGATTTCCTTGGAGCCTACAAAGGCAGGTTTGCAGGAGTGCTGCTTTGGCCCAGTGCTACACGTGAGACTGGCAGGAGTGGGAGAAGAGAGGACAAGCAGCAGGGCTTGCTCCCGACTGCTGCCCTCCCCCTGCCTGCATGCTGCCAGGTGTCCCTTCATGTCCTGAAATCCAGGGACCAGGAATGATGGTGGGCAGCCCTCTATTCAAGGCAAGGCAATGGTTACTGCTGAAGGTCCAAAAACATTTCGCCCCCTCCTGTGCCACAGCTCAGCCCTGTTGTCAGCATTTACATGTAGGGCAACAGAGGCTGAGGGAGGGGTATGAGGATGAACTGGGTTTCTTTCTCTATGTCCAGTTCCCAACCATCTGCTCCTGGCTGACTGTTACGTGTTTGTTAGGCACTCTGTGAGAACTGGAAATGCATCTGTAGCGCTAAAGGTGGTGCCATCACTAAGAAGCCTCAGGTGCCAAACTTGGCTGTGTTTGTTTATGAGAGGGCAAGGAGGGCTAATGGGGCACGGCAGCACAATTTTTTGTCCTTCTGTGTCTCTGGTTTGAATTGGTACAAGATCAATAGCTCCCAAGTCCCTGCAGTGATTGTGACCATCACCACTCTCTGGTCCACTCATTAGCTTCATCAGAGATGTCAAGAAATTAAATCTGAAACCATAAGGTAAAGCAAAATGGATGGATCGCAAATCATTTATTAGCTTTCACTGATGCTGATAGTAACGCTTTCAATAAGCCTAATGAAAAGCATTTGACTGTCTCTGTGAACTTGATTATTGATTATTAGTGAACGATAAGAGTAATTTGATATCTTGCTGATGCCATGCTCCTATTGCTTTGCAGTTAAAATGTCAGTTAACATGCCATTTAATATTCTATTAGTATTGAATTAGCACTTATTACACTGTGAAAATGATCACCATAAATCCTTATTAAAGCGTGATCCGTACAGCTGGGTGGCATCTCTGGCAGACTAAGAGGGTGTGTGTCTGCAGACAGACATACTGAGATGCATCATCTGCATGGATGCATGTTCAGAGCATGCCAGGACTTGGAATTTCCACATTTGTACATTGATTTTCCCTGACAGTTTGAGAGGAACAGGTATGGTGAACAAAGCAGCTCAGATCCATTTCGCTTAGTCTTCCTGCTTTCCTCCTTTCTTTCTCTTCTCTCCTCCTTTATTTATTTTGGTAGCAACTGCTAACTTCTTTCAAAGGCACTTGCAAGGTTGTCTAACTATAGCTATTGACCACTGCCCTAGGACTGACCTCAATGGGTGTAGGACAGGTTATGATATGTTTTCTCTTTGACAGAGAGGGAGGATTCCCCAGGTGAGCATCCCCTCAGGTGTGCGAGGACAAGGCTTTGCTCCAACTGCACCACTGAGATGTTTACTGACATGAGAGACATCACAGGGGCATCTTTGCTACATCCAAGCAGAGGCGTGCGATGACTAGGTGTAGGGCAGAGCTATGGGTGCTGTGCTGTAGGTTTGGGAAGCAGCCTGGCAAGGCTGGTGCTGTGCACTGGATCTGCTGGTGCCCAGCAGTGCTGAAAGGTCTTCTGGAGGATTTTCAGAAGTGACTGAGAAACTTCAGTTCCCAGTAATTTCAACTTCAGCTGTTAATCTCCTTAGCTTCTTGCTGGCAAAAGACCTAACATCTGATTTTTGGTGCCACTACTGTTCTGTGCAGAAATATGTATGTAAGAGGGCCTGAGGCATCCATCTCTGGAGGCAGTCTGGGTGTCCCTGCAGGGCCATTGCTCCCAGCCATGGGACACAGTGCCCTCCCCAGGTCCTTGCTTTCAGCTCCTTAACTGATGATTACAGCCTGAGATGGCCAATGGAACTGGGGCAATGCCACAGTGGTGCTGGTTTCTACATGTAAGTGGCTGCTCATGGATTCCTCTGCTCTTTCTTTTTAACAAAATGCAGCTTTTTTAAAACAGCACAGGTCACACGTGAGAGCTCACCTCAGGGGCAAGTGCCTGCCTAGCCAGGAGGGTGGGCTCTGCTGAGGGACAAACCCTCACTCCCCTCCCTTGGCTGAATAGCAGCAGTAAGGGATGGAATCTGTTGGGCTGCTCTCTAAAGCAAATGTTTGTCGGATCAGACAGAGCTGCTTACAGCTTGGCCAGCAGTGTGGCATGCCTCCCACTGATGCCCACGCAGCTTGGCTTTCCTCCTGCCCACAAGTAACCCCAGAACATCTTGGACAGCATCCATGGGCATGCCAAAAGGGAGTGGGTGAGAGGTGTCGGCCATAATGGTAGGGTCACATCACAAGGGATGGCAGCTGCAGCACAGCATGAATGAAATGCATTCAAATAGAGGAACTTAGAAAATGTCTGACCCATGCTAAAAGGCTGTATGAGAGCCTACTGTCAAATATTTGTCTTATCTTGAAGCAATAATCTTTATCCTCTTTCTTTTCTCTTTCAAATGCAACACATGCATGAATAGTGAATAGGACACAATCCTGTGCAATGTGATCTAGGATGACCCTGCTTGAGCAGGGAGGTTTGATCAGATGACCTCACTGTAGTCCCTTCCAACCTCATCCATTCTGTAATAGTGGTGGTGAGAGGTGCTGGATTATTTGGATGCCAATACACTGTGTGCAGAGCTCTGAGAGGTGAAGGAGCAACGGCTCCAGAGACTGAGCTTCCCCGTTTATCTGCAGAGCAAATATGGTGTGAGCTGCTGCAGGGCAAACCCTCTCAGCCTGTCTGAGCTCAGCCCTGGTGGGTACAATTGCCAGGGTGAAAGAGGAGTTATGTCTCCATCTCTACTTCAGCCCTGGTCCTCTTGAACGATACACAGCTGAGAATGAGCAGGACATGCCTCCTCATTGGCATCTCCTCATTCTGTGCAAGTCTCCTTCTGGCAGTGGGAAGTGGTACGGAGCAGGTGACTTTGCCAAAAATGTGTTCGTCTTCACAGCACCTACTCTGCTCTGTGTCAAGGAACAAAATACTTGTCATGCAGTTGCAACAGGGTTAGTCTATCCTCTGCCTTGTGATGGTTGGCACTCAGGGCTGTGGCAGTTGCTGGTCCTTGTGCTGCTCCTCTTGTCTCCCATCCCTAGCCTTCCTCCTCTCCTGTCCACCCAAGATGTTCACAGGACATGCTGCCTAGGGATAGCAGTGACAGCCATACAGCCTCCGTGTTTCACCTTGAGATCTGCACTTGCCTGCATGAGCAGGCAGATGTGCATCAGGAAGGGGTTGTATGTGTGTATATGTTAGGAGGGTGATGTTTGAGCAGTAAATCCCTCTTTCCACAAAGCTATTTTTGTCAGATGGATGTAGAGGGGAGTTACGCTATAATTCCCTCCCTTTCTGCTGAAACTGAGGGATGGAGCAGCTGTGCCCTGAGCTGACAAAGCTGGAGCCCTGAACCTTTGCTCCCCAGGCTGGAAAGCGTCTGGAAATGTAACTCTCTTGTATGCTTGACTTTTGAAGGTGAGGGAAAGCATGGGAAGAACTACTTCTGAGCACTCTCACTGGCAGGGTTAGAAGGGATTTGGTGATCAGGATCTCTTGTGGCCTTCCAAAGTAATTTTTAGTGCCAGGTATAGGCCACAGGCAGAAGGAATAGAGGAGACATGGCAAGCACAAAACCCATGGTTTCATGGACCAAAGGTTCCTGAAACCCTTCAAAAATCATTATGAAATAAATGTCCATGGGACAGCAGTGATAAGAAGGTGCTGTGGTTCACTGGCAAAGCAGGAGCGTGCTATGAAGTTTCTAAGTATAGTAGTAAAGGAAAGGGACGAAAAGGAGATCATGGAGACAGTTCTTAATCTCCCCCTCACCTTTCTCTTCCTCTGCAGGTGTTATGTAGAAGACAGAAGCTCCAAGGTGGCCTGGTTAAACCGTTCTGGCATCATTTTTGCTGGAGAGGACAAGTGGTCCCTGGATCCTCGAGTAGAGCTGGAGAAGAGAAACCCCCTGGAATACAGCCTGCGGATCCAGAAAGTGGATGTCTATGATGAGGGATCCTATACATGTTCAGTGCAGACACAGCATCACCCCAAGACTTCCCAGGTTTACTTGATTGTGCAAGGTAAGCAACATGCCTGATAAGAGAACAAAGGCCAAAAGACACAGTGAGTGAAGGGATCTGTATCTTTCTTAGAGAAACTCCAGAGTCAGTAGCCTATGTATCCCTAAGATTTATAACAAGAGCCAGCAGGATTGTCTCCTTCCACTGCGGTGCAGCATGGCTTTACTCTGCTACCAGTTTGCCCTTTTAAAAGTGGTGACAGAGCAGGGGACACCAGTGATGCCAAGACATATTCTAGTATAATGCAAATCTGGCTCCTGGTTCTGGTTGTTTTGGCACTCTGAGGGGAAAACATTTGTTTATAATGACACTTGTCGGAACATCATTCTTGCCTCATCTCTTCCCAGACAGCCCTCTGGGTTCTTTGTCTCCTCCTTTCTCAGGTTTCCTTTCTTTTTTCTTGTGTCAACAAACTACTGTGCTGTGTTTTTTGGCCTTCCATCATTAACTCTTCACATGGCTGAGGAATTAATTTTCCTGGTTTGGCCTTCCATCATTAACTCTTCACAAGGATGAGGAATTAATTTTCCTGAGTGTTTTTCTGTACTGGGTCATTGGTTTGTCACTAGGCATATGTGAAACCTGGTACCCGAGGTATCTGCCACCTACCTTATGTTGCCCTCTCCTTTTTTAGCTACCCTCCTCCTGTGTGTGTTAGAGGGAACTGGAAACTTGGCAAACCAGCATTGTCCTATCTTTCTGCCTGCATTTATGGTATAACAGTGAGTAAATACATTAGGGAGGTCACCAATTACTGGTAAGGGCATTAGTGAGTTTACTTGTTCCATCTTGTCCAGACCATAATACCAAAGAAGTGAGTTTACTCAGTTTTGTTTTGTTTTACTTTTAATCTTCATACCACTCTATCTGCCTATTTATCTAAAATATTTATAGAGCAGCTTAGGTGATAGATATGTATGTATGCATTTGATACGTATTACAGATATGTTCAACTTCTACATTATCCTTCAGGCAGGAACTTGTTATTTCTCCTGATTTGTTTAGTAACCCAAAAGGCTGCAGATTTTATTTCCCTCAGCAAGTTTTTGCATTGCTGTGGATATAAATGCATGCATGAAGGGACTTTTGCTCTTGCTGGTGCTGCTTGGCAAACTAGGGAGCTTACTAGCATACCAAGTGTTTATCTGCAAAGTGAAGAAGTCCAGATGTATGGTCAGAGGTGATGCTTTACACACAAGTATAGCAAGACAGAAGACTCCTGGTTTGTCTTCTTGCACAAAATCCTCCCCGTGCAGCATGAAGAGCAGCACACAGAGCAGTTCTCCCAGCTTGGCTGAGTGTTTGCTGGAGTGTGCCTGGCGTGAAATGCACTTGCCAGCCCTGGAGGTGTACCCTGCCTTTCTGCTTGCTATAATGGTGCATAGCTAACCATCTGTAGGTGGTTTATTGCTGGTAAAATCTCACAGCATACAATTTCCATTTACCTGTCAAGAAAAATACAGGGACAAATGAATTTTAGAGCCATGCACATGTATTATTAATTTTATTTGTGCCTATTAGATATGGGTCTAAGCAACAAAATTGAGTTCTCTAGCTTAGCTTTCACCTAAATATGTGGCTACCCAGCTCTGAACTACTGCCACCTTTCTGAGAATCAGAAAATTTAGGTTTTAACACACCTAAACTCTGGATACCTGGTGGATAATCTTTGTTCTAGTGCCTGCCACAGATTTAACAAAAGACCCATTGTGATTTTGTGCTCATAGGTGAAACTCATAGCTTTCCTTTTTCTAAAACAAAATTTCATCTGGAAAAAAAAGCCAACGAGCAAAATATAAATACAAAATCTTTTACAATTTAGAAAAGTTAGTCTCATCTTAAACCATGCTTTTAAAATAATCTAAACTAATAAAACTAATTAATTTGAAAATAGTACGCGTTAAAAATAATCCCTTTTGTCTCTGAGTATCATTTTCTCATATTGATTGCTATTTTTCTCAGATTTTCAGGTCATCTGCCTGAAAAGTAGTCTGCTGCTAGTACAAATTAAAGGAGTTTGGATATTGAGTCATGCCATTCTTTTAAGTTTTGTTTATTTAATTTAGGTTATTTACTTCTGATGGTTTTGTGTTCATAAATTTCAAAACATAATCTTTGTGAAGCTCTGGGCATCCCAAATGTTAAAAATAAATAAAGAAAAGAAAATACAGCTCCTGAAACATTAAATGACAGAGTGGTCAACTGATCTGCCTGTTAATCTGGGAGGAGGATTTCTGGAATGATGGTCAGTGATTCCCTTCAAATGAGCTCAGGGAAACAGAACCAAGCCAGGGTCAGAGACTCTGCCAGCTTTGCGCACACGTTTGATGCCTGGATTTGCCAGTGAAAGATCCTGCAATGACAGCTGCTCATGCCCTGGAAACAACAGACTTTTTTAAGGCCGTACCCAGGCTTCCCATTCTGCTCACTCAGTGCTGTCATGGATATTTCTGCTCTTCATTGCACTGTATTACCAAAGACAAGTCCCTAATCTCCCCAGGTTCAGCTCCCTCATCTGTATAGCCCCTGTGAAAACCCAGCCCATATTACCTCTCAAAACAAATGGGATAGCTATATCAGAGACTGACAAACAGGTAGGCAGATACTGGAGTGCTGTTGGAGCCCTCAGAACTGGAGACCACTCCATGCCCACAATGCCATCTGAAATAGACAGGCTTTGGTGTATCCTATCTGCATTTAGTTCAGTGCAGGTTAATGGAGTTGAATTCTGGGAGCAGGTCCTTTCCTTCCTTGAGAAAATCAGCTTTGCCTGGGGTGAGCTTTGCTTGGTGAACTCTGCTGGCCAGAGCTGCACAAGTATATCACAGAAAGAGGGACATCACCTCTCTAATGTATGTGCCCTTCAGTATTTCCAAGGGAAGAGACAGTTCTACTTTGTCAGCCAGCACCAGCCTCTGGATAAACATCCTACTCAATCTGCTCTTTTCCTCCTGTAAGTGTGTATATCCACTGATAGGATCCCTCTCAAATAGGGCATATTGCCAAGGTCTAAAAGGTGTGTAAGGAAATGGCACTCAAGAAAAAAAAATCAGAACTTCATGAACAGCTAAAAGTAGAAAAAGTTTTCTTCATAAGCTTTTCCTGCTTTTCAAACATAAAGCCAACTCTGCTGGTAGAAGTAGGTATTCACTGCCAAAAGATTCATTAGTACAACTGTGGTCATCTCTTCTGTCTTTCTGACCCAGGTGGGCAGCACTGCTTGCAAGGTGGGTTGGACTGGAGGCAGCTGTCTCCGCCCAGCTCAGTTGCTACCAGATGCTGGTACTGCACTCTCTGCACTGGAGTGGATGCATGAAGAGCCTGCTCTGAACCACCAACTCCCTTAAGTTTCAATTGGAGTGTAATGGCCAGTAGTGAATCTTTCTGTTTACCAGATGTTTCTGTTGGTGTTGGTCAGAAGAAGAAACACTTGGATCAATCTGCAAAAGGTGGTCTGGTCCTTCCCCATGCTGTGAAACATGATCAACGCTACAGTGGCAGCCCCTAGCATATCTCCTGAAGATACCCTGTGCCTTCATAGCTGATGCATGTCCATTATTTCACTCTCCTTGGATTTGAAAAGCTTTTATTAACATGTGATCCAAATTGATTTTGCTGCAAATTATTTCTGGTCCTTCCAAGACACATGGTGGTCATTTCTCCTTCTCTTCCTCAAAATTACCTTCTATCTGCTCAAAGCCCATTAATTCCTGTGTCTCAGATATCTCTAGTTCGGCCTAACAGGTTAATTCCTGTGTCTCAGATATCTCTAGTCCAGCCTAACAGGCTCACTGCTTCTCACACATCATATTTTCCAACCCTTGTGTCATATATATTTCAATACTGTCTGGTTTGTCTACATGTTTCTTTAAATGTACTATCCAAAACCAAAACAAGAGTTCCAGTATAGGATTCAGTCATGCAGATACCAGTACCAACCATCTTTTGCATATCACACTTCACTTACCTAACTCCAGAATGAAATGAGGTTTACCTTTTTTTAATGAGTGCCTCATTGCTTTCACTTATCCAGTCCCTCTGCAGTTTTGCAACCCTCTCTTACTGGTCTGCAGCATAGTCTGCAGCTCATTCTCCACTTCTTTATTTGAACATTATTAGTTTTCCCCACTCCTTCCTTAGCATGGCATTTTGTGCTCACTATAGTTGGATGCCATCTGGTTCGTTTCTCATGGAGACCACCTCTTCAGTTTTCTTATGATCCTGATTTCCAAAGCACTTGCAACTGCCCCCAACTTGGTGTCATTGACAAAAGTCAGGTGCCCTCTTTCTGTTCCATCCTGAAGGTGTTAATTAAAGTATTGAAGAGATCAGGGCATAAAAGCACACTGTGGTAGCAGCCCACTAAATCCTCCATCCCTGGGGGATAGTGATCTGTTGATTGCAGCTCTTTGAAGCATTCTGATGGTGATTTAACATCCACCATATTCTCTTTGCTTGTTGAAGACTGTCAGGTCTTCTGAAGTCGAGATATATCGTATCATCACACATACTGCTCCTGCATTATCTGCTATGCCAGACATCCTACAAAAAAAAGGAAATGAGGCTGGGTTGGCATGATATGTGCTTGCCAAAAGCACATTGTATTTTTTTCCCCCTTTATTATTAACCTTTCGGTGCTTATAGATGGGATGTTTAATCATTTGTTCGAGTATGTTGAGTGACTTGTTCCAGGAGAATTGAGTCATAACCGAGATGTGGTGGCTGCTCCTTTCACAGCATTGACATGGATTCTTATTCTTTTAGGGCTATATCCCCAAGCCCTTCTCAGGCATTAAATATCAATGGAGAAATCCCTCTAGAACTCCTGTAGTCTTTACTTGTCTCATCAGGGTCACAGGCTCAAGAGCACAGAGATCTTAGCAAGCATGAGGTTTAAAAGTTTCTGCAATAAAGACTTAGACCTGTCCAAGTCAATCTAAAGGAATAACTCTACTATGAAGAAGCAGATAGTTGCTGTATTTGCTGTCCAGAGCCTTTACAGCAAAGCATCATTGTGAATGGAGGTGGTTGGGACGTTTTCAGTGAAACAAAAACATTTCACTGTTTTTGACTTTGATTAAAATTTAATCAGGAAGGTTTTACATGTCTGAGGTGCTTTCTCAGGTCAAAATTGGGAAGAGAAAAAGGTATAGCATTGCCACAGCCCTTCTAAAAGCTAGAGCATTCAGCTGAGATGCAGGGAACTCACGTTCACATTTTTGCTCAGAGCCTGGGACTCCTCCAAACTTACTAATATTTCATGTGATTCCCAGTTATCGGCTGTTCAAACAATGTGGGCTATCCCTTGGTTTAGTGTTTATTTCATGAAAAAAAATCTAAAGGGCTTTGTCATTTTGGCAAAACAAAAACAAATTCGGAAATGTCATCAGCACATGTTCACAAAGAGGAATGCTTGTTTACTGCCCAGCCCTAATCACAAACCCAAAGACAAATGCATAGCAGATAAGGCCAAATCCTACAGTTTTCTTTCTAACTGATAGGCACTAGTGTGTGAAAAGCAGCACGGAATGTAGCCTTTCTCCATTATGCATCGCTGCTGTAGAGCTCCTTGCTTGCAAAGATTCAGACTCGCTATTCATTGTTTCAAAGTGGTATAAATATGTATTTGTTGTTGCTGGGATTTAACTCTAGAAAAATGTATTATTATCTCTGTGTGGTAGATTAGCTGTGCTCCATCTCAGTCCACTCTCTTGAAATTAAAGAACTTTATGCTGGTGGCTAGTAAAGTACAGCAGAGACCTTCCCTAGAAAGGCAGATGAAGCCAGTCTGGCTTTCTTTGTGTGTACATGGCTCTGCCAGTGAGCCCCTTGGTAAGAACTGGATCTGGAGCTGAGGAGGGAGGGTGTTGTCTAGCATCTCTGGAGGCATTTGAAAGATGTGCACTTAGGGACATGGTTTAGTGGTGGACTTGGCACTCCTGGGTTAATGGTTGGACTTAATGATCTTAGTTCTCTGATTCCGTGATCCTTCATTTCTGAGGACAGTGGTAGGGA